ATATTCAAACACTCATTCGACAGCATTTCCAGCAGACCTTCTAGACCAGTGATCGGCAAACTGCGGCTCGGCAATTCTAGACCTGCCTGACGGCGGGCCTCAGCTAAGTCTGTCTCCACGGCCCGAGCTGAGCTTGGCGGAGCCTCGGGGTTGAGAGGGCAGACTGAGTCACGGACAAGAAAGAGACTGCGGGCACTTCCCGTGGCTCAGGTTCAGACTTTCCGGCACGTCTGGGATGGTTCCAAGAGCAAAGGCGTTGGAGCCGAGTGACATGGACTCTAATGCTACCTCGGGTCTTTTCTCACTGTGTAACCTGAAGCGATTCGCCTCGTCTCCCTGAACCTGCTTCCTTACTGTCACATGGTTTTGGTAATATGTACCTCTCAGGGTTTCTGGAAGGTGAGGGACAATGTCTGTATTAAGTATAATGCAGGGACCTACCAGGGTGAGTGCCCAGGCCCGTCAGACCACAGCCCAGGCCACACCCACGGTCTCACCAGGCTCAGAAAGCAGATGTTTAGGCCAGTGGCCTGCCACCACGGAGCCACGTCAGCCCTGTTAATGGGGTTTACTGTTCTTTTTTTCAATTACAGTTGACATACAATATTCTATTGGTTTCAGGTATTAGACATTAAATAACTTATAAAGCGATCACCCCAATAAGTCTAGCACCCAGCTGGCACCATACATAGTTATGACAATATTATTGATTACATTCCCTGCCATTGTCACTGATGTTGAACCAGTGGCACCTCCATGGAATGGGCTTCTAAAGAGCACCTCGTCCCACCTCCTCACTGGGCTGACCAGAAGGCTGAGCCCCAAAGACCGCAGATGTTTGCTCAAGGCCTCACAGCATGGTGGTGGCTGAGCCAGCACTGGAACCCAGCTCGTGGCATCAAGCCATTCGACCATCTGGAAGACTAAAAATAACGTGCTTAAAGTACGGGCTTTAAAGGAAGACAGACGGTTTGAATTCTGGCCTTGCACCTTTCATTCATTCAACAAACATTCATTGAGCCTGTGCTAGGCACCATGCTCAGTGCAGGGGGCACAGAGGGCCAGGTCCACATGGCCCAGCTCTTTCACCGTCTGGTGGGAGAGGCAGTGAACAAACCACCAATGAATAACAAGCTGATCGCCCACTGTGAAAAGGCCACTAGGGACATAGGGCACAGGGCCCCAAGAGGAACAGGGACAGTGGGGCAGGGAGGCACCTCAGGGCATTCAGAAAGGACCTCTGAAGAAGGGGCCGTCTGAGCTGAGACCTGGATACTAAGAAGGACCAGTCGTACAGAGACTAGAGAAGGGCATCCAGGCACAGAGTGTGAAGCGATGAGAAGACATGAGGCCAGAGGGACACGGTCAGAGAAACGGCAAAGGCAGCCCAGCTGGTGTGGCCCAGTGACTGGGCGTCAACCTATGAACCCGGAGGTCATGGTTGGATTCCTAGTCAGGGCACATGCCTGGTTGCGGGGCTGTAACCCCAGTAGGAGGCGTGCAGGAGGCAGCCAATCAATGGTTCTCTCTCATCATTGATGTTTCTATCTCCCTCTCCCTCTCCATTCCTCTCTGAAATAACAAAAATAAGAGAGGGGGGGGGAGGCCCTATTAGGCAAGGCCTCCAAGGTCAGGGCCAGGAGCTCAGCTTTTACTCAGAGCAGGAGGAGGTCACTGGAGGGTCAGAGCAGGCAAGTGTGGGACCTGGCTTATTTTTTTTCAAACGATCATTGGCTGCTGCCGTGTGAGGGACATCTGTGTGACCTTGGGCAAGATGCGTAAGCCTCTGAGCCCGATCGCCTCTCTAAAATGGGGGTAACAGAACCTCCCCCGCCCCCCAGGTTTCACCAGAGGCGGGCATGACAACACACACAGAGCATTAGCACCATGCCCCATGCAGTGTACGCACCAAATAAAGCTTTGCTATTTTACATCACTGTGTCCAAAACCCTCGTCCACCACCAGCGTGGCCTGCACCTATTCAAACCATAGGTCCTTCCAATCCCACCCACACAGCCCAGCCTCCCACGGCCTGAGAGCACCACAGCCCGTGGTTTTTTCTTCTTCCATTTCCAGGATGAGGCACCGAGGCCCACTGAGAGTCAGGGCCCACCTCAGTGCCCCGGTGAAAAGGAGGCCCTCAGACTAAGGGCCCCAGGCCCCAGGGTCCCTGCTCTCTCCACGCATGGCAAGGTAGGTTCTTGTTGGTTCTGGAGCCTATGCAATGACACCCTTGTTTCTGCACAGCCCTCAGCCATGGGGGTGTCTATTAAACTCTTGTCCATCAGAAGACCGCCAAGGGTGGTCAGCAGGATCCCAGTGACAGGGAGGCAGCCAAAGGCCTGCTCTCAATTAGGGCCTTGGAAATGGCCTTAGCATCTGTCAAAGTCACGGCTCCATCTCCTGGGTGCCCAGGATATATAACAGGTCCCAATCAGAGGCCAGCAGAGAGGCCGTGAGAAGTAATAATTGCCTTGGCAGGTTCCTACAGGAGATTTATTGTGACATAAAGAAACAAATTTAGCTGCCGGCAGGACCCGGCAGCTGGCCCTCCACGTTTGCAGGAATCCTATTTGCTGGGGTTGGGTGGGTCGGGGCTTCTACCCCACTCGGGCTGGGCCCGTGGACCATTCATCGTCTCATGCTCCAGGCCGCCTTGTCCAAGAGGCTACCACCTCTGACACATTTCGCAGCATTTGGAAATCAGTGCCCAGTTCACAAATGACCCATGTGGTGTGGCACCAAGCGATCCTCTGGCTTTTGACACCACCCAGATCATCCATAGAGCAAGATGATTAAAGACCCAGGCTGCAGACAGCCTAAACGTGGGCTCAGATTCAAGTCCAGATGCCGTCATGGACTGGCTGTGACTCTGGGGGAGTAAACTGCCTCTCTGAGACCCCATTTCCTCCATTTTCTCTAAAAGGAGGAGGAGCGATGCCTCCTCTAAGGAGCTGCTGTATGAATGAAGAGAAAAAGGTAGAGGGCATCTAACAGAGTAACAGGTGCCAAACAAAAAGCGGTGGTGACCATCTTTATTATCCACGGCCTTCAACATTATCCTATGGGATGGCACTTATGGAGGGGCAGTGACTTTGCTAGTTTTGGGGGTTTTTTACTATGCTAGCTCTTTTTAGGCATCTTATCTCTACACTTCACCACCAATCCTGCAGGTAGCTATCATTATGTTGATTTTCTAGCTTAGGAAGCAGAGTGGTTAAGGCACTTGAGCAAGGTCACCAGCTGGTGGAATGCGGAGCTGGGGGTGGGATGCTGGCTTGTTGGTTCTGGAGCTAGTGCTCAGCCTACCTTCCCAGCTCCTCAGAAAGGCTACTAGTCAGACAGATTGGCACAACCACACTTGCATCTTCCTTCCCTCCCTCTTTACCTCCCTCATTTCTCAAGCACCAGCTCCAAGATCAGCCCTTTGCTGGCCAATGAGCACAATAAAATGAACAAAGAAACACTTCTTGCCCTTGAGGTCAATACCTGATGGGGCAAAGAGTAAAGCTGTATCCACATTGCCTGGAACACATGTATCAGTTAGTTTTTGCTGCATAACAAACAATCCCAAAAATGTATTGTTTTGTTTTAAAAGAAAGAACAATTTATTATCTCTCCCAGTTTTGGGGACAGTTTTTGCTAGGTTTAATCATGCAGCTACACTCACCTGACAGGTCGGCCAGGCTGGAAGTTCCAAGGTGCCTCGTTTGCAGGTCTGACAGCTGGTCCCTGCCATTCGTAGGTTACATTGGTACTTCTCCATGTGCCCTCAATCTTCAGGTAGGCTCACCAGGCTTCCTTACACAGCAGAGTTCCAGAAGGGCAAACAAAAGCTGCAGCGCCCCTTGAGGTTTGGGATCCAGAATTTGACATCACTTACGCCACATTCTATTGGTCAAAGCAATCCACATTCTGTGTTTAGCTAGCATCGGACATACACTCGTGACCTATCACGTAAGGTTCAGCCGTCGGTGCAGAAGGAGTGTGAGCAGGCCAGTCGAGCTAGGCGAGATCCTAATTAATACACTTTCAGTTCAGAGTAAAGGATGTGGAATTGTGTGGTTAGAATGGGTCATATCCTTTAACCAATAGAAAAACCGAGGCCCACAGAGTCAGCTAGTGTGCAAGCCGAACCAGTACTTCATAGAGCCAGTCTTCATATGAAGAAATTGAGGCCCAGAAACAAGAAGGGAGGAGGGGCCTTGCCCAAGGTCATATAGCAAGTTTGTGAGAGCCAGGAGTGACTCAGGTCCCTACCAGCCAGCCCACTCCTCCTCCCCTCCAGCCCCCGAGGAAGCCTCAGGCTGGGAATGGGCTGAACCTGGGCAGCAAGACGACCGTCCCCAGATGCGTGTCCCCTCTGTCCCCTCTCTTCTGTGTGCTCATAGTAGCCCTTTCAGCACACCTGGCACCACGCAAGAAACTTAACCACAATGTCTTCTGCTCCTAACAGGACTGTTCCCATTTTACAGATGGGAAATCAAGACCTGGAGAGGACAGTTGACTTGCTACCCAGGGCCTCACAGCTGGTGAGCCCCGTGTGCCTGACACCAAAGCCTGAGCCTCCCAAGCTGCCCCCAAAAGAGCTCAACCCAGGTCCAGGCTCCCAGAGGTGAGAGGCAGCTCAGGGACCCTCGGAGGTCTCAGGATAAAGCCCACTGCCCTGTGAAGAGGCAGCAACAAGCCAGAGTCCCTCGGAACCGCCTCTGCAAATGGAAGGACCGTGCGTGACGCTCTGGTCCCCACCTCCATTTTATGGGAAAACGGATGCCAAGCCAGCACGCAGGCCTCTGACTCCCAATCCAGGGCCCGCCCACTGACTGGGACGCTGGGGCAGGTGAGCAAGCCCCAGTCAGGCTGGTCAGACACACACCAGGCCGCTCTGTGGCATTCAGAGAGCACGTTTATTTACAAAGCACTTTACAAACATCAGCTTTTGCCTCCCCACAGCCCCCTGCGAGGTAGGTCAGTAGTCATATCTACAGTTTACAGATGGGGAATTTGAGGCACGGAATGGGGGTGTGGCCTGCCCCGTTGTAAAGAGATCTTCCCACCCACCCATCAAAAACTAAACAAAAAAGCATCGATCCTCCACCCCAAAACACACCTTCTTCCTCTGAACTCTCAGGGTTGGGAGCAGCCCTCACCTAACAGTGCTCTCTCCCAGCTGGCAGCCTGATCGGGAGCCACAGGAACCTCAACCCCATGGGCTGTTGTGCAGCCTTATTGTTCAGACTGTCACTGGCCCGGGCTGAGCAGGACCCGGCCAGCAAGGCCAGAAAGTTATAGGCAGAGGCGCCTGAGGTTGTGTCTCATTCTGCAGACGTTGGGTCAGGCAGGGAAGGGGCTTCGCGTCGGGCAGGGGAGGGGAGGGCAGATCCTGGTTCAGGGAACTCAGAGCACATGTCAGGGAAGCAAAAGTGGGAGGGACCATGAGCAGGATTTCCCAGGGGCTCCGGGGCCCACCGGCAAATCAGAGCAAAGCCCAGTCTCCCCAGGACCGCAGGGACTGGGCCAGATGGGGTTCTAGATGCCAAAGCCCAGTGCACTCCCTGCTCATGCGGAGCCATGCTGGGTGGACGTTGGCCTGGTACACATCCCACCAAGGGCTGGGATACAGTCACGGGGCTTGAGCCTAGTCCCCCCGAGCAAGCAGCTCTGAGCTCCTGTCACTCTGCCAGGCAGCGCCCGGCCTCTCCGCACAGGCCAGCAGGACCCCACGCAGGTGGGCTGGGCTGCAGTCTTGCTAAGCTCCTCCTTGGCCCCCAGGCTGCCCACGGTACATTTGGCGAAAGGCCCTGCCCCCCGTGAAGGCAGCACCAAGAAGGCCCATCACCTACTCCAGTGCCTTCCCTATGGGTTGTGGTTGAGCAGAGTTGGGGACACAGGTCTTCCTCTCGGTCGGGATGACGGGCCTGGCCCTGAGTGCACAGTGGATGCTCCAGGCCAGGGGCCCCCGCTATCTTGACTCCAGCCCCTCCAGGTACTCCAGGGCCATATCATAGCAAAAGTGGTACTGGTCCTGGGGAGAGGAGAGAAGGAGCCATGAGCCTGAGGGGAGGGGGCAAGCATGAGACTGGGCCCATCTTGGGGAGGAGGGGAAATAGGGGACACATTTTGGCACCACAAGACTAACTGTGGGGACCCAAGGCCCAATTGTGGGGACTGGATATGGGAGAGTGGGGACTGAGGGGACTGGCTGGGCATGGAGGTTGGAAGTGGCGGGGCACAGGGGACATGGCCCCTCACCAGGGTCTCCACCATATTGGGTTTGTAGTTCCTAAGCGTTTTGGCAGCAAAGAAAACGTCCACCAGGTTGTGGCAGCGAATCATCTCCAGGACCGTGGCGCAGGCGCAGAAGGTGCCGCTGCGGCCACCCCCATTTCTAAATGAGACACAAAAGGTTTGGGGTAAGGCTTGGGGGAGGAGGGTGAACTCCCAGGTAAAGAGCAGGGCCAGGGTCCCCAGAAGGGAGGGGCCAGGAGCCCAGAGATGAGGGCAGGGCCAAGACACCCAGAAGGGAAGGGGAGGGGTGGGGAGGGAAGGGAAGGGAAGGGAAGGGAGCCCAGAGGTGAGCAGGAGGGTAAGGGGCGGAGTCCAGGCCGAGACTGGCATCCAAAGCTGAAGGTCTCTAGGAAGACAGCCTCCAGGAGACACAGCCGATTCTGAGGAGGAGGAAGGCATACTCCCAGAGGAAGAATGACAGCAACAGAGGAGGGCCGGGGAGCAGCAAGCAAAACCAAGAGAGCAGGATGGGAAGCGAATACTGAGAATACCGGTCACCCCAGCAATGCAGACACGGGTGCAAACACAGGTACACCCTGAGTCTCCACAGCCTGTCCCCGTCCCTCTCCCTCCTCTGTTCCTGTAACTCAGGGCGTGACGTCCTCTTGGGAGATGGGGGACTGGACAGGCCTTCAGCCTGGTCTCTAGAGTCTCTCCCACTAGAACTGAAAGCCCGAGAGGCAGGCCAGGCCCGACCGGGCTCCCTCTCCGCGCATCCAGCGCGCCCAGCCCGGGAAGGGCCAGCAAGTCTGAAATCAGCAAAGGAGTGCCTGCAGCAGACACGAGTGCATGAATGAATCATGGGTGGGGCACACGAATTCATTGATTAGTGAGTTAGTTATTTACTGAAAGGGTGAAAGGTTCTGTGTGAGCATTCATGAACAAAGACCAGAAATCCACTGGCTTAAAACGTGTGCTACAGGATCACAGGGCCCTGGCAGGGCCCTCATGACATGGGCAAAGTCAAGCATCACACACGGAGCGCTGGGCAGTTCTGCAGGGTCAGAGCTGACTAGGCTCCTCCAGGGAAAGAAGAGCCAGGCGCCCGGGAGCCAGGGGCTTCGGTGCCAGTCTTGAGGCCGGCCTCTCACGCGGGACCTTTCTCTCCCGCTCCCCGCCCCGGCCCGCCCGCGGCAGACCCGCACTCACAGGCAGTGCACGACCGTGCGCCCGTCCCCGCTCTCCGCCTGCCACCTGTCCACCTCGGCCAGCAGGCGCAGGAAGGCCTTCTTGGAGTCCGGTGTGTCCCGGTACGCGGACCAGCGCAGGAACTGGAAGTGCCGCACCAGCAGGTGCCCCTCCTGCAGCTGGGGGTGTGGGCAGCCAGCCAGGGGGCATGAGCACCGGGGTGACCAGGCCCCCGGTGACCTCGAGCAGGTCCCGACAGGCCACACCCACCGCCACCCCGCTTCTCACCCTGGGGCTCCCAGATCACTCACCCTCGAGATGTTCTGCACCCGGAAG